GGGGCGCCCCGCCGCGCCCGCCGCCCCCGCCCCCGCCGCAGCCTCTCGCTCCCCGCTGTGTCCCCGCGGGGGACTGGAGGCAGGGGGCCCGCAACCCCGCCAGACACCGCGCTCGGAGCGTCGGGCGCCTGGGAGAGGGAAACGCCTAGGCCCGGGCCGGGCCGGGGGAGGTCTGGGGGAGCAGACCGACTTACCGGCGATCTGGGCGGGGCTGGGGCTGGAGCGGGTGAAGAGGGAGCCCCCACGCCACCCCCCGGGGCCGTGCGAACGCGGGGTTGCTCCTGGGCCTTGGCTGGTGGCAGCAGCCCGAGGCCTTCTTAGGAAGGCGCTCGGTCCTGCAGGGAACGCAGCCTTCTGGGGACCGGCTGAAGGTTGCTCTTCTGCCGTTGCCTTGCGGGGATCTCTCCGGAAAGGAACGGAGCAGAGTGCAAAGGGCCGTCCGTGTGTGCGCCTGGGTGCTGCAGCCCCTGGGTGATGCAGGGCATCAACTCTGCTGGTTGCCTGCCGGACCCTTTCCCGCTTGTATCTATGTAGGTGATCCCTGCTGAGAATTTTCTTGTTTACTAGCTGGCCCAGTCAAACCTACCAATGCGAAAGGCCTCCTTTTTTGTTGTTATTATTTGTTTCTATTCTGCCTGCCATCCCTAATGATAAACAATAAGTACAATTTGTGTATTCTTGTGCTGCTATAGTTTGCTGCAAGAGACAGCCTCCACCTAATTCTTGAATGGCATGGTGTTTATAAGTAGTGTTCTCCGAAGGGACACACTGTATCTTACCCTGAAAGCAGTATCTCTAAATTTTACCTCCTCTGCTTTATAATCTAAATTGCCTGTTGTCCAAAAGTTCGACGTTTAAATTGTATGCTGTCCAACAATGGATTTATCCAGTTCTTGACAAATTTACAGAAGGAATGACTAAAGCATTTACGTTACATTTATTTTAATGCACCTAACTTCTGCTGCATTTACTGTGTGCCTTTGCAGTGTTTGGGACAATCTCTGCTTCCCAGATCCTAAAACATCTCTTAAATGCCCTTTTCTCTCAGGTCGTGTGATCTGCTGGTTACAGCAATGAGATATAAGAACAAGGACTGCTCTTTCTATGTTCTAGCTTCTCTTTCCTCCAGCTTGCTGGCTGATGCTGGCCAAGTCACTTTACAGCTAAGTCTTAGTCTCCCTTTCTGTAAAGCACATGTACATACTTTCCTCATTATTATGTACTCTGTGGCTCCCAACTTGTGATGCAAATTACCTACTCTGCAAATACTTCTCCTGTCCTGCTTACACAAGGTGTATATAAAGGAGGTACAGTACTATTTTCCAATAGCCTTGTCAACCTTATTAAATGCTTTCATTTTTTATTTTCCTTTCTTGTTTCTAGCTTTGTAGCAATTGCTGAGAATGTGTGCTCTGTGGGAGGCCTGTGGTGATTTGCTGCTCCTTTTCTAGCTGTTCCTGCCATCTGCACTCTTATGTTGTATCTTTTGTTTTGCAGGATTTATGCTTCTCCTTTCAATGGAGAGTGACTGTAGAGATCAATAATGAGGACCAGCCCTCGCAGGCCCTTAATTCTCAAAAGACGGAAACTGACCCTCCCACAGAAGGATGCATCCAGTACTTCAACGAGAGATGAGAACAGTGGACAGGATGGAAAGACTCCTAAGCAGGAGCACAGCCAGGAGGACCAACACAACAGCCAACCCAGAGACAAAATGGACTGTGGCCTGCAGAAATTCCCAGCAGGAATAAAGATAATTGACCATCCCACCATGCCCAACACACAAGTGGTGGCCATCCCTACGAATGCTGATATCCAGAGCATCATAGAGGCACTGACAGCAAAAGGAAAAGAATGTGGCAACAATGGGCCCAACAAGTTCATTCTCATTAGCAGTGGGGGCACGTCGCGTTCAGCAGGTCCAACACCATCACAGCATCTCCCATCAGAGAAGAAACCCTGTGCAGCAACCAAGGCTGCAGATGGTCAAGAGAGAGAGAAGAATGTTACACAGACACCTGGTCTTGCAGGCGGGACAACGGTCTGGCATTCAGGAACTGATTCAGCAGTTGGACAGGAACAGGAGAGCAACAGTACGTAATCTTAACCTTTTTTTTTTTTTGTCCTGACAGATAGACAAAGAGATGTAAAGTGGACCAATGAGTGTGGTGCTTGGATCTCAGTATGCATTAATGAAAAATATTTTGTTAATTGCAAAAGAAGAGCTATGGATTTGATTCTAATAATCTACATAGCTATGCATATGCAGTGAAATCTGAAGCATCTTAGTGGATACATTTTTGCTGGAAGAGATGGCATATAAAGGTGTATAGCAAAGCAAAATTTTAGTGCTGGGGAAAAAAGAAGGGCTGGCTTGAGGAAATCAAGTCTAGAAGAACAAAAGTTTCATTTAGCAAAAGGGTTATGGCTGAATTCAGGACTAACACAGAGTACCCTAGTCAGTGACAAACTGTAAGGTCCTAGAGCTTTGAAAAAGAGATGATTCCCATCCTTTAATAACTAAGTGGCAAGTCTGTTTCCTCCTTGGCTGTCTCATGAAGCTGCTGAATAAATGTTAGAAGTTACTTTGAAACACTGCTCAGATCAAATTTGTATTTGCAACTTCAAATAGCTATGTAGCTCTTGGGCTGTAGTAAATCTTATCCCACAGTATAGTACTGACAGGAACCCACAGACAGCTGCAATAGCTGTATTGCTACAATCAACCTCACCAGAAGTAACAAAACTGTGTTAGTTTTCATTGCTGCAGTTCAAAAACCTGGAGACATCTGAGTTTCTGACTGGGGCCTTATGTTAGGTCTTTCAGGTGGAGTTTGTTACCACCTTCCTTGGCCTCTGCTTACTAGACTCATCCTCTGGCTAAAAATACTTGAATTCTTGAAGTAATGGATCAACATTGTCCTGTTTTGGTTGAGAGCAATAGTCTGGTTTGAATGTTTGTTTTTAAGGCTGCAACTTTTTTCAGAAATTGGGCAGATTCACATGAAATCAGGAATTCAAGGTTGAATTCCTTCCACAAGAAAAGTTAGCATTCCAACACCATCTTGTCCCTATCTTGAGACAGGGATACCTCTTTCAGAACCGTGACTAGTTCCTTCCTTTTGGCACTTGAGATGAAGGGGGAAGAGGGTTACGTGTGAGTAAGCAGAGCTATGGGCTTGTTATCCCAACAGGCAGTGGCGAGACAATGAGCTCTGTGTTGGACAATAGTCTAACTAACATCCAGTGGCTGGGGAAGATGAGAT